TACCAATTTCCTTTATTCATTAAAGTTCAGAGTTAGAATTGATAAAATTAAAGTTTTTTTTTTAGTTAAATTTGATTTACTCATAAGATGAGAAAAAATGATATTTTAATATAATTTGCATCGAAATAAAAATGGAATTTGGGAGAAAAGGAAATTCAAACTCTTTTGGCATCCAACCGACGAAGAAGACTGTCCCCGAAAGGCTGTCGCATCTCATTACAGTCAATAAAATTTAAGGTCATTATGCCTATGGGGTTTTTTCTTGAATTATGACAACTCAACTTATTATGCTCATTTGTATTTAAAAAAAAAAAAAAACTTTTTGTGCTCATAAGAATTGCTATTATGCCCTCTTCAATTTTTATATACCCACTTATTTTTAATTACTTAAACCTATTTTAAATATTTCAACTTCTATCTAATTTAATAAATTAAGACACTTTGTCTTCGATTAAGAAATTTGAAGTTAAAATTCCAGTAAAGAAAATCTATTTTAAATTTAACGTTTTGCTGCTTGTGTTTTTATTTGTTTTAACTATTCAAACTTTTTGAATCTTTAAACTTTTTGGCTATTAAAATCTTAGTGCTAGTTACTCAACATTTATTACAGTTAGTCTTAAATATGATAAACATTGTTAATAAATGTCGATATAGATAGAAATGTCGAGATTTCAATTTTATAGAAATATCAATAAAAATGTCAATCATATATATTTTTAGAAAATTTATAAAAATCAAGAAATTCAAAAAACATATTTAAAGTAACAAATAAGTGTTTCGTCATTTTTAATAAGTTAAAAAATTTTATTATTAATATTATATTCATGTAATTTTTTATATTTTATTACCTTTTGTCGATTGTTTTATAATAATGATAATATTGATTTACCATATGGTTGAATCCATAAATATTTATTGATGGAAATTTAAAACTCCAATCATATACCTATGTTTAAAACTCGGATTATATATATATATATATATTATTCTCTTTCTAAAAGTAACTTACTAGTTTTTTTTATTATTATTATTTTTTTTCAATAAGTAACAAATTAGTTTTACCGCAGGCGTTAAGAACAACTTATTTTCATTAACTTTACTTGTTCCTAATTTTATATAAATTGGATTTGTCATTATTTTTAATACACTAAAAGGCTTTCTTTTTGTTTCCTTTTAAAAATGAGAGTGACTCAACTAAATGATATTTCGTTTTAATTTAAGTATTATACCTTTTCGTTCTGGAAAATTATCCAGAATATATGTATTTACAAAATATCATTACTTAAAAAAATGTGATCTCATGTGATTGTATAAGTTTGAAATTTAATTTATGAAATTTTTGTAAAATTTTAAATTGAATGTTATATGTATAAATATATATTTCTTTTTGTGCTATTTTTATAATTTCATTTTTTTATGGAAATAATTTCTAAAATATTGAAAGTATGGCTTTTAAAATTTTTAAAAGAGGATATAATTTGAATTCTTTAAAATTTATTAATTTATTGAATTAATATGAGATTTGTAGTTTAAGCTAACATGAAATGAGTGAGAGCAAAATCAAGCCTTCTAATCTATAAATTAAAGCTTGAAGAAATCATACGCTTAATTAGTTAATTTAATTATAATGAATTGCTAGTTACAAAAATACTATTTGGGGCTTTTCTGATACTTTTTTCCATTCTTGCTCCCAATTGACTCCACCCATCTCTTGTTTTGGTTTGCAGTTCACTATCATCCAAAAAACAAAAACAAAAACAAAAAAAAAAAGGCAAAATAAATAAATTAGTAACCAAAATCATATTTACAGGCAAAAAAAAAATCTCCATCTCTAATCATATATCATTACAGTGTCATGCATTTTGGCACAGTGTCATATATTTTAGAATAATATAAAACATTTTTACATGCTAATATTAATATTATAGATATGTTTGGCAAACATGTTTAAAAATATTCTATCTTAAAAAAAATTTAAAAATTAATGTCCAAAATTATTTGATAGGTTCATTTTTCAGAACACTTTTTTATGCAAGAGAGTAAAAAAATATATATGAACTTTTTATAAGTTTACAAAACAATAGCCTTTTTTTTTAAAACATTAAAGTTTAAATTATTCTTTAAAATAAACTATATATATGAAATAAACTCCCTACCCACCTTCTGTCCTTTTTTTCCCTCATATAAAAAATAATGTATAAAAAAATTAAACAAATGGATTTGTTGTTTGGGAGGTGAGAAAAGCGATCTGTTAGGTGAGAAAATATTTCATATTTGTTTTTCTCATCCATTCGATTGTTGTTGACGTGTGTGTAATGTGTTGAGCTGAAATGATTTTTTTACACGACAAAAATAGGAACAATTTTCAATCCATTTTAGATTCACCATATGACTTGTTGATAATTAAATTTTATATCGATATATCTATTAATAGTTTTAATATGTCAACAGCTTCGATATCAACATAAAAGATGAACCGATATTTGCATTATATTGTAGTGCAGACATAAAATTAATAATAATAATTTTGAATTATTTAAAAATGATAAAATGCTGGTTTATTAATTTAAATATTTAATATGAATTTACTATTTTTAGATATATTAAGTGATATAGATGTTTTATTCATACTTTTATTGACATTTTCATAAGATATCAATCTTCATGATGACATAGACATTTAAAACTTGTGTTAAAGAGATTATTTATTCATTCGTTTGTGAAGTAATGTTAACGTTTAAATCTTATTATGAATCCGAAAGGTTGATTATTTTGTTCTTAAAACTTCTAGGATTATAAACTTTGTATAAAAATAAATTTAATATTTATCAATTATTTTAAATAAACTATTCAACAAAAACACATCTCTAGTTCATCTACTTCATTAATAAATGTCTAGATTACTTTTTTGAAGTTTATGAACTACTATATAATATTAAAGTTCACGAAATTAAATAAGATATTCGAAAAATTAAAGATTTTTTAGACCTTTTTTAAATACAACAATATTACGGGATAGAAATTCGAATTCACGATATTTGATCAATGATATATAGCTTAACTAGTTGAATTGAACTGAGCTCAAGTTGACAGAAAGTTTAAAAATTTAAAGATTAAAGTAGAATAAGTATGAAAGTTTATGGATCAGCTTCGTATTGAGACATAAAATTGAGTAATGGTCGATCTTATTAATCTTTTACAAGTGAATTAACATCTCATTTGCCTCTTTTAGACAATATCTTTCATAAATTAAATAAATATTTTTCCCTATTCGTTGCTTATGCTTAGTCGAGTGGGTCACTTTAATTTTATAAAATTCAACTATAAATGGAAAGGAATGAAACAAAGTTAGAAACTTTGAGGAAAAAAAGGACAATGTTTTAATAGAAAAATAAATAATATTAAATGATATAGATTTTATTTTATTCACCGTATAATAAGGTATGATCAATGATAGGTTGAATGTATTTCAAATAATTCACATAAATAATACAGAAATTATTGTGATTTCGTTGAATTAATGATTTGTTTATTTATTTCAGAGGAAAAATTTACACGCATAAAAGAGAAAAGTCTGCGCGAAAAAAAATTATAGATGAAGCAAACAGTGGATTGGTTAAATAATAATTAAAGCCCTTCAAAAAAGAAGAAATAATAATAATAATAATGATGAAAGTTTGTTGGTCGCAGCCAGCAGGTGACGCAACAGGCCAATTATCCGGTGACACGTGTTTTAAACTAGGGTCAATTATAGTTCTTTCTTTTTATTTTTCAGTACCCTTCACATGTTCCCTTTATCCCAAATTTACTCCTTTCTTGCTTTTTTCTTCTTCTTTCTTTTTGACCTCCTTACCTATTCTACCAGCTAAGTTAATTTTCTTTTTCCTTTTTAATAAATAAATTATTGGTAATAGAAAATGATTAATTTTTATTTCTTAGATGAAATTTGTTTGGAAGATGAATGGATATGTTTTTGGGTTCGTAAAGTGCAAACAAAATCTAAGAAAATAGAGTGATCCATTACACATAGACGTTGTGGTATGAAATTTTTTGGATGAAATCAAAGACAAAGCGGTGAGAGTTATGGTCAAAATCGACAATATCTTAACATGAGATACTTAGGATACCGTTATTCTTAACAGATGATTTATTGTATTTTATTTTTTATTCTGTCTTTAATTAAAATGTAAACTTTAAAAAATATTAATTAAGCTTCATCATCTTCTATTATTAACATTATTTAGTTAATCTAGTAGGTATTAGGACACCTTGAAAAAAAAATAAAAAGGACATGAAAAAATTGGATCCAAAACCCATTATTGCCACCCACCTAAAATATTAAGATCATATACAAGTAATAATAATGTACCCTCTTTCTATACTTAAAAAATGATGTTATAATTTTTTGACTTTAACAAAAATTTACTTATTGTTAATTTTTTTAATTGTTGTTAGAATCCATATAAATGAATTAAATTTACCCAACTCATCAGTTTAAGCTTTTGGGTTGAGTGGTGGTTTATTCATTCTTAAGATGGTATCAGAGTGGAAGGTCCTATATTCGAACCCTGGTTGCAAGACCAATATAGGACCACGTGATTTCAGGTAAAATTTCTATAAAATTGAAGTCTACAAATCAAACATGGAGAAAATAGATGCATTTTTACGTAAATCTTGAAGACCGAAAAGGAAAAAACAACACAAAGTGGGGAAGTTTAAAATGACCAAAATAAGAAATATATACCAATTTTATTGTATATATGGCATAATTGGAAAAGCGTAAATACTATTTTATTGAAGGAAAAAAAAAAGGGACAAAAAGAAAAAGAAGGGTGTGAGCGAAATAAATGTATGTATGTGGACCAACATATAATTAATTTAATGCCTTCCTCAAAAAAAAAAAATAATAATAATAATAATAATTTAATGCCAAATTTATGTTATGAATAATTAAATGAGTTATATAATTTATTGTGACCACCGGCATCGTCTTCCTCACAGTTCCCACCAGTTTAAAAGGCTAAAGCGGTTTCCATGGCTAATCACAGTCACAGCTTCTTCCTAAACTGCCCGCGGGAAAAATTTATAGCAGCCGTTCGCGTTCCGTCCGGCAATGTTGCCGGATTTACAAACTCTGCCGCCGTCGCCGCCGCCGCCTGACGTCTGACTACAATTCGACTCGCCATGGCACAGAGCCTTAAGCTTCGGATTCTCTCGAGCCTCACCAAGCTCTCCGACAGAGATACCTACTCCCTCGCTGCGTCCGAGCTCGAATCTATTGCCCGGAGCCTCGACGCGAATTCCTTGTCGATTTTTCTTTCCTGTATATATTCTACTGATGCCTCGGATAAATCGCTGGTGCGGAAGCAATGCGTTCACCTCTTCGCTGTTCTTTCAGAGGCTCATGGAAATTATCTCTCTCCTTACCTCTCGAAGATTCTCTTCAACATCACTCGCCGGTTCCGCGATCCTGATTCGTCGGTCCGATCCGCCTGCGTTAACTCTGTAGCGGCATTAGCTGCCAACGTTACCAAACCGCCGTTTTCGACGTTTTTGAAGCCTTTAACCGATTCGCTTTTCACGGAGCAGGAGTCTAATTCGCAGATCGGAGCGGCTTTGTGTTTGGCTTCGGCAATCGATGCTGCACCGGATCCGGATCCGGTTAAGCTCGGCAAGCTCTTGCCGAAGTTCGAGAAGCTTTTGAAATGCGAGAGTTTCAAGGCAAAGCCGGCTCTCTTGACACTGATCAGAAGTGTTATCGGATTGGACGGAGCTTTCGGTAATGGAGCTCTGAAAAATTTGGTCCCCTGCTTGGTAGCATTCCTTAGCAGCGATGATTGGGCAGCGAGAAAATCAGCGGCGGAGGCGCTCGGTAAACTAGCCGTCGTGGAGAGGGATGCTCTTGCGGAGTTCAAGGCCGGCTGCTTGAAAACATTCGAGAGTCGGCGATTCGATAAGGTTCCAATTCTTTAATGGCTTTAAAAAATTAGTCGCGAATCGAATGCATACAGACATTTAATCTTGGTTTTCTAAATGCTGTGATACAGGTTAAGGCTGTAAGGGAGGTAATGAGTCAGATGTTGGAGGCATGGAAGCAGATTCCTGATCTCTCGGACGAGGCGTCCGCACCAGCTTATTCCCAATCTTCCTCGAAAGGTAGCATGTTTCAATTTCAACACTATCTTCAATATATTCTGTACTAATTTCCTGTATGTCCTTTGATATTGTCGACATTCTTCTGACTTCTTCTATTATGGTCTTTTATTCTGTTTTAGAAATCGCAAGTGATGGACGTTATCCACCTGGATCCAAGAATAATTCTTCTTCTCGTCTTGATGCTCCTATCCCGAGGAAGAACGCTACCGCAATTTGCAGGTCTACACCACCCGATGCCTCACTTGCGACGACGGCAAGAAGGAGAAGCCCTTTGAGCGGTGGTGACAAGAAAACAAGTTTGTCGATGTTCCAAAAGGTTGAGCGTAAGAAGCCTCTGGACTGGAAAGTAGAAGTCTCCGTTCGGAAGTCTCCCTACTTGACCAGAACCATTGAAGGAGAACTGAAGGAAAGAGATGAAAACATTCCGGATAGAAGGTTTAGTGAAAAACCCAAGATCTCGAAACTGGAAACAAAACGGGCACTCTTCAATAAGATTTCTGACGATAAGATAATTAAATTCGGTGGGCTCAGGTCTGGATCTCGCGTAGTTCCTTGTCCCGAGGAGGGTCCTGAATCGACTGTTGTAGCAAGTAATGCACACGATGATCTGCACAGGAACCACAAAGACTCTGAAGAATTGCATCTGATCCGTAACCAGCTTAATCAAATAGAAAAGCAGCAATCCAGTCTTCTAGATATCCTCCAGGTTGGTACCAAATCCTGAACACTGCACTTAGCCTGTAAGAAATATCTTGAAGTTTGACTGAAATTTATACAACACTCTGAAATTTTATTTTATTTTTTCTTGATGCTTGATTCATGTCCTCAATGCATTCTCTTCCTTGACACACTCTAAAGATGATAGATCTTGTGAGGCATATGCATGCATCAGTATAATTTATCGTTCCTTGGAAGCATTAGAATATTGAAAATCCACAAGTACACTTCCTATAATTAGATTGGCTCTTAGCCTGCAACAATCTCAATAGACGACAAAGCACATAGAACATGGAATCCAGACTGAAATCTTCAAGAGTTGTGTTCAAATATGGGATATGACAACTTTAAAGTACATATACGACCCCAGTCGCCCAGGAGGTTTTGTTTTATCGGCATCACAGTCTGTTTATCCACCTCATCCTGCCACTGAAGCTTAGATAAATCATCATTTGGGCTACTGTTGTTTCAGTTTCTTATGTCATTTTAGAACTACTTCCCTACAATGGTCTGCCAATCAACGCATTTCACAGATTTTTTTTTTATATTGAAGTACAATTTGCATTGTATGTCACGGCTAGCGCTTGATTATTTGAAACGTTCTATACATTGATCGTTTAAAAGCTCTCTCACACCTGTGTTTTGCCTCATCTACTATTAGAACTTCATTGGGAGTTCACAAAATGGAATGCGATCCTTGGAGACGCGTGTTCATGGCCTGGAACTAGCATTGGATGAGATTTCATATGATCTGGCTGTATCAAGTGGAAGGATGTCTTATGCTAACACCCCCAGAACCACATGTTGCCTGCTGCCTGGAGCTGATTTTTTGAGCTCAAGGTTCTGGAAGAGAGCAGAAGGCAGACACCCAACATCAAAGTTTCCTACTCCCACCAGCGCACCGCCGTTGGCTGCGATGCGCAGCAGAGGTGATCACCATGGAACTAATGAGGATGCTGGATCTATGAATTTGGAGAATCATAGGTTCCAGGTCCAGAGAAGGGGTGGCTTTATGGTGAATCCATTGGCTGTGAGACAAGGAGAATCCAGGGTTATCTCAGATGTGACATTTCCTTGAACAATTCGATTAACAGGCACTAGTGAAAGAGTAAATTCTGAACTTAATTCGTTCTCTTTTGATTTTTTTTCTTAAGTTTCATCACGTTCTTTCTCCTTTGTTCATTTATAAATTTCTCTCGTTTCACATCTTTTCTTCCCTTCCCACATCATGTTTAGCTTCTTACCATGTCTGCCGACCTCATTCACATGATTCCATTTGCATCCCAACAAAATATATGGCCGAATCTAGTATTTACTTAACTTCAAACCATTTTTACTCATTTATGTTACAGGCTTACAGCTATGGATTTTCACGTTCCTTCGCTATGGTCCCCTTGGAACCCTAGTGATTGATGCGAAAGCAACTACCTTGATTTACGTTGCTGAAGCAATCCATTCCAACAAGGATTTAAAACAATCTCTGGTATGTTCAACGGCCAAGTGGTCTCAAAATGTGAGTGAGGTGTCAAATTAAATTTCTCTTTCTTCTATTGGTACTATTTTTGAAAATTTGATTGAAATTGGAAACGAAAGGATTTCATACCCAGATGCCAAATATCCTAATATAGAGAGGGTGATTACTGATTTGTATAGAGGAACCAGAAGCAGAAGACAAGGTCTTTTCTCTTCCCTTTACACTTACTCGAGTTGTTTCTTTTTATTGGTTGAAACATTACTTGAAGTGGAAAAGAGTACAAATATGTGGTTGATTTGATGATACTGAATCTGACATTTTATATACTTTTTAGCCTAACCGTATTTGGTCATTTAGATATTATTTTGATCAACGAAGTCCAATCAAGAGTGAATATTACAATTTACAGAACAGAACTTTCAGTTCGTTTTCTGTGCTTGCTATATCACATTAAATTGATCTTACAAAATTAGGGTGGTGAGTGTAGAAGGATAAATTTCACGTGAAAAGTGAAAAATTGGAGTAACCTTTTTTGCATTCATTTCATATAATATGCTCTTAAGTGTTTGTTGTGAGTGAAAAATACAATCATTAGAAAACAAACCCCTTTGGTTATTTTGTAACTTACAGCTGTAACATTTGACATCCAAACACAACTTGGTTTCTGTTCTACCAAAATTTGATGGTTTCTCCCACAACAAAGTCGAATCCATCAATGGGTTGCTCACATTTTTATGGGTCTTCATTTCAGCTTCTTAAAAAATAAAAACCACCTTTAGAATTTACGGAGGGCCTTCTTCTTCAATCCTTATTCAGCTCCAGCCAACATTTTTGCCTGGATGAAGCTGTCAGAGAGTAGTCAAATGATTTCTTTCACATTGGGTTATCTTCTCTTGGTTCACGATCTCTCCACAATAAACAATCCTTTTCTACACTTAGCCGTTAAGGTTGGCTTTACATTTCAACGTTGGATAATTTTTTATTTTGGTTAATATTTTGGTTGGAGGTAAATGTCTTAACGTCTGTTTGGGAATGATTTTGGAATAAGCAATTTTAGCCAAAGATATTTAATTATAATTGATTTTCAAAATCATCATCCAAATGATACCTTAAAAATCAATTTAAAGTGTTTTTAGACTTTACTATAATCAATTTTTTAATTTGTCAAACATGATTAATGGGAAGGGAAAGGGAAGTGATTTTGACAAAATCACTCTTAAATACACCCCTAACCAGTTGAACTATGCTCAAGATAGACTTCAAACTATAATAATTAAGCTCTTGAGATTTGAGGAATGGTATAATTTAGTCCCTAAAATTACTATTAATAATACAAGGGTGGTTGGGTGAGAGAATTGCGAGAGTGAGCGAGAGAGAAGAGAAAAAAGGAGATTTTTTTTGGAGAGAATAAGAAAAATGCTACCAAAAATAAAAATAATATAAAATCAATAAAACTTTTTTTTAATACAATAAAATCAATAAAACTTAGCACATCATTTAAAAACGAATCACACAAGAATTGCATGTCAACATTTAATGTGTCTTGCCAACTTTTTGTTAGTATAAGTATAACATACCGATGGTAGAACAGTAATTGGACCAAGTTTGCACATTTTTCAAACTTCAGAAACTATATCAGATTTTAAGATGCAAGAACTAAGTACAATCTTAACCGAACTTTGAAGGACAATAAAGTGTAATTTACCCATTTTCCAAATTTGAGCTAACCTTAGATTAGTTCTCAACTATATGTTATTAACTAATATAGGCTATATTACTTATTTTTAATAAAGAAGCCTACTGCCAAACATCAAGTAACTAATGCTTCAATTTCAAATCCTATCTCCCATAGTTCAGCCACATGACCAGCACTTCTCTACCCACGACTTTCAAAGAATTTCATATTGTTTATTCATGTTTATGTTGAATCTTCCAATTTACGAAAGTAATCAACTTATAAACCAAGATTCTACTTCATGTTAAGTTTCTAACTTATCCATCTCTAATAAACAAGCTTTTTTTCTTTTAATAACCGGAAGCCGGAACTTTACTCCTCTATACTCAAGGGCACCTACATCCACCCCCAAGGTCTAGATCCCGGAGACAATAAAATTTTTGATATTAAGCTGACTTGAACTTGAGATCTCTAAACTAGTATGACCAGAAGACCTCAAATCCTTACCAACTGAGCTGCCCCTTCGGGGCAAACAAACCCACCATATTAGATGTAACCAACTATAAGTCTACAAACCACCATTCAGCCGATGGCTTATTTAATGTATTTATTGTGCCTTCATTAATAAGGTCACAGTCGGTATAAGATATTTATCAAAATTCCTTCCAACTGTTATCCGGGTTATAAGTAAAATGGCAGGAGTAAAAGGTAACTTTGAAAACGCATAATTAAAGGTAAATACTACCATATCTGTAAGAACAGAGCAGCAATGATCTAAGAAATAAAAAAAAAAATAAAAAAAAAAACATTGCTATGCAGAGACATGCTCTACGGACAACATTTTGAAGGCCTCGTGGTCTGCCACTAGCTTCACTTTGCTGCCAGACAGGGTAAAGATGCTCACTTTAGGCTGAAAAGTTATTATCTTTCCTATACCTTTTTCTTTAAAAGATTATGATATTTGAAAGTAATATTTTAAAACTACTTAGAAGGGTTTTTAAGATTCTAAAACTATTTTTTTAATTGTATGGTTTAATATTATGAAAAATTGAAAAGTATGTTTAATAATTAGTTAAAAGTACTTTTTACTAATTCAGAAGAATTTCTCAAACACATTCTAAATCTAACACATATAATCTTGCACACTTTTCTTCGTCCTTAATTAAAGGTGTCAAAATCTGAAACTGTAGAAAAATTCACCAAAACTTTACCAAATATTTTAACACAAGAAAACTTCACTTTCGACAGCTAAAAAGCTAGTAGGCAGTACCTGGAATTCTATAAAGAGGGGGAAAAGGCAGAAAGACATTAAGATCAGTTTATAAAAAGGCAGATGAAAATATAAGAAAAGTTTAGACAAAAAGAGGAATTAATCTCTCCCCAATTGGGAGTTTACAAGAAGGCATCGAAATTAGAGTTAATCACAAAGTGGAGAATTAGTCAGAAATGGAATTGGAAGGGAGTTCTAACTTCTAAGAGGAGCATTGAAATTTTTCCAATTTATAGAATCCATCCTTATTATGGTAAATCCGATGATTTCTTTCAAGCCATAAACTCCAAGTAATTGCTCTAACTGCATTTATCAACATAATCGTTGTCTTCCCTTTGAAGATGGTTCCACACAGAAGCTGCATAGAATTATCCTCAAGAGAGAAATCAAAAACCCAAGAAAAGTGAAAAGAAAGGAAAGAAAGCTTTCCTACACTCTATGCTAGAGGAGGAAAAAAGAATAGTAAAAGGCTTTGTGGTCATAAATGGAAAAAGTATCTTCTCTCCATTGTGTTTAGCCTCTCAAAGTTAAGAAACATGGCTAATAGAAAAACTCAACTTTTTCCAGTACTTTACCTTTGCCAAATTGAGAGTGCTAGATTTCAGAGCAGAAACGAAATGGTAGCTGTACTAGCTGTTAATCTTGAAAAAAGTGACTTAACAATAAATAACCTCCTTGTATCATCTCATCTCTTAGACCCAGTTTCAACTAACAGCTGCAGAAGGCAGTGAAATTCCTTGATCTCTAATTTTTTGAGATTTCTCCTTGTCAAAAATTTCAAGGATTTTGTAGCCTCCTCCCAAACCTCACTAATTGTAGCTTCCGATTAGAAGGTTGCAGTAGAATGAGAAGGGAATTTCTGCATTAAAGGTCTGCTATGCTACCACCACCTATAACCTATCTTACCAAAAATAGGTACAAATGCCATTATGACATCTGATAGAAGAGAAATCTTCAACTAGGCCTTTGGTTTTCGGAATCTCCCGATAAGAGCTATGGCCGCTTCCTATCTTCCGGTCTCTTGCTGACCACTCTCTTTATCTTTCCCATACAAGCTTGGAATCTGAGATGACTTCGTATCGTTATTCATTGGGAAGTTTCAAAAACCACATGTCCATTAACGCCTTTGTTCCTTTTTCTTAATTACCAATGCCTAACCCTCCCTTAACTAAGGAAAGAAACTTAATGATCCACTTGACCATATATGACTAGCCATTCCCACCTCTTCAGCACCCCAAGAGAAGTCCTCTTTTGCCTTTCCAAAAAAGTCAGCACCTTGCTCAAAATTGGAAGATATAAAGAAGGAAGGTAGGCTATTCAAAAAGGTGTTTGAAAGTGTCATTCAACCCTCTCTTGACAAATTCCTTTGCCAATGCGATTGGATGGGCAGTCTATTAGCACATTCAAAACTCTACAATAAACAATTCTATTCTAATAATGAGAAAGGGGGAAGAAGCTAAATATAGCTTCGATTATTGAATATAATAACCTTTAAAAGACCCTTGGATCACTCACTAGGACATTATGAGTTCACAAGCACTAAGAGGTAGGTACCCATAGAGATAGAATTCACATTTTCATGATTCCCAAATCTTGCAGGTTTCCAATCCAGGAACCCTACAATCCAACTGGGGGAAGTGTTCCCCTTTGTTTTATCCCTACAAATTAAATTGAATGCTAACATTTATCCAGCTAGCTCATTGATTGCTCAATATGATGACGAATCAACATAATCTGAAGATGTGAACAAATTCAGGAAGAGGTCAGAATGGAGCATAACTATCTTGTTAGAGTCATATACCAACAGATATTTAGTGCGAGAATGGAGTAAGATAATTTGACTAGAGACTCTGGTCTGGACTGTATAGCTCACAAGTTTCATTGTGCTGAGAACGGCCAATTCATTTTTGTTCGTGGCACCTTTTTAGGCAGAGCACGATGTCCAGCACAGTATTCAATAACATTCCAGTGAGTTTCACATTATGTTACTGGCTTAGAGGTAATAAATTTTAGTGGCATAAGAGAATTTGGAAAAAGATAATAACTAACATGATGAGCAAAATGGCTAGTTTCTGAACTATCTTGAGATGATTCAACCATGAAGCTTGACTGAGTTTTTACAAGACCAATCACTTTCTCCCGTCTTTCTCTTTAAATGCTCTGATTACGAGATAAATTACTTTCTAAACTAGTAAGCAAGTCCTCATGCTATCTGCAACATGTGTAGATAAGAGTGAATATTTATATGTTGCCTGTGGGGGTCATCATTCAAATTGAAAGCAGTCCTCTCGAACTTATCTGACAAGTCTTTAATGGTTCCAGTATCTGCTTGGCTAGCTGTATTCAATCCGTTGAAAGTAAATTTCCTGCCTAATTGTGTCCGACTTATCCAAGATGTCATCATTGTTTGTTGAGATGAAAAAATTCCAAAAGGTTCCAGACTTCTCTATCAACAAACACTTATCTTTTTCCAATGGAACATTTAAGATTAAAGGAAATAAACAATGCTTCTGAGTATCAATTTCATTTCTGACTAATTGTCCCCTGATTGACTAGAGTTATCTAGTGACGGAATTTTGGAGAAATAAAGAATAGGTACATAATCTATTTACATGCATCACTAGTAGAGAACCTGCTTTGGAGAGCTTTCTTGTGTTATATCCTTTCATTTTTCTGGAAAATGGCATTTAATACTGCAACCATTCGTCTGCATCTTCTCAATAGGATAGAATTCTTCTTACATATGGTCAGTTTTGGGGACAGCTGGTACATGCATTGCTTCAGCCCTTTTACTTAGCATAGTTTGAAGGCGTTAGGCAGATTATGTTTATATTTCAATCTTCCCCAGTTCCATACTGCGGTGTATCAGTATCGTCGCAAGAGATTATCCACTGATTTACCACTTACTATTTCTTTTTCTGCAAAATGTCACTCAGAAATTACTATCATCTTTCTGCATCACTTTCATATTTATATTAACAGCACATTTTTGCCATGTGGGTTAGGACTTCTCATCTCTTCTGCACTTCTGCTAAGTATTTCATGCGAGAAATCGTTTGCCTGTCCATGAAAACAGATTTTTCTACAGAAAATATTCCATGTGAGTGTAGCCATTTCTGTAAGGTTCTCTTCTGATTCTTCGCTTCTCCTTTTAATGGCGGTAAAGATAGTATAGCTGACATGGCTATTTCCCATAACAGTGTCACTTGTACCTCTTGTTTTCTTCTTTGAAAAGAAATATCACTTGTACCATTGCTCGGCCAGCATTGTACCCATCTCACAATTCATGAGCTGTTCCAGAAGAGAACCATTTAAAATAATCGTGGATTCAGCATGACCAAGAGAGTTCTGACTTCTGGGACCGTATTGACATGTCTTTCCTCTTCGCAATAATTCCCGCTACATTTGGCTCATTCATAGTCTGTCTTTTCTCGTTCTTCGCACCCTCCAATTCATCCTGAATCTTTCGCAGCTCTTACCTAATATCTTTCACTATACCTTCTGCTTCCCGAAGCCAAGCCTCAAGCACTTCGATCTTCCTCCATTAACTTGAAGATGCCATCTCGTATTCTCTAACCTGAAATTGCAAACAAAATCAAGTCTATGGTTGTTGATCACAGAAAGATAAGCATAGTGATCGGTTATAGCATAAGGATCACAAGTTCACACAATGAAAGGTGTTAAACAATCAATTTCCTCTACACAATGCAGGGTAAAAGAAGAAAGAAAAAATAACTTCGCACAATCATTTCAAGGAATCTACACCAGCAACCGTAGTTGACAACTGTTATATAAACATTTGTTTCAATTACCAAATATAAGTCGTAAAAACCAATAAATAACAGAGATAGATACAACTCACAAGACATAATCAACGAGTGCCCTGATTCTACCATTCTAACTTAGAATCCAGTATTGTTTGGACGCCTAACAAGCATCCGAAGTGCTTCATCCTTGCCAACAAGATTAATCTTCGAAAAAGAAGAACACAAAACGGAATCAAACGTTCCGAAATAAGAACAAAAATCAAAGAAGGCGAGGAGAGTCTGTAAATGTTTTGAGTTATACAAAATAAATATATACCTCGGAATCACCCATTCTCGAAACCTTTCTTTCTGGAGATTTTCAAACGAAGTTGGGAATTTGAGAAGCAGATCAAAGCCTTCGCTTGTGCAGTTTTACAAAGTTGCCCTCATCGATCTCACAATGACGTACCCACGCGTGAGGGCAGCGGATCCCAAAATCGGTATTTCGTTATCTTTTTGCCTTTTGGCCCGCGCGCGCGCCATGAGATCGGGCCTCATCACCTGCCGTTCGGATCCTTAATTTGGTCAAACTTTATGACGCGTGGCACTGTTATGCCCGTTGGATGAAGGAAAGAAAAAACACTTTTTTTTTAAATAGATGAAATTACCTTGGATGGCAAAAATATATTTTTTCTAATGGTAGTTTTACTCGTTCTTTTCTCACATCACATGATACTTTTTTTGGTTTTAATTCTAATTAAATTATGTTATTTGTGTAAACTTTTAAAGTTTAAACTTATTGTTATATTTAAAAATAATTTTTTCGTGCTGCAGTTGTCTTTTTAAATATCACTGGTAAGATTAACAACAAAGATAATAACAAACTATTTATTAAATTATAAGTCTCATATCTAACTTTTGAAGGTTGTATTTTTTAATAAGTTTTTAAAATTTTTAATTTTGTATCTAATAAATTTTTATGATTTTAAAAATACCGTCTCGTACGTTAGAGATCTATTAGACTAAAAAAATGAAGATTTGATTGTAGTTGAAAGTTCATAGGCATAATAATGTTTAAAATTTACAAACATAACTCTCAAAGTTTGAAAATAACTATATTAATAATTTTAGTTTTTTAAGTTTTTTTTTTTACTTAGGACATGAGAGGGTTCGAATTTGGATCTTGGATGTCAGCCTCTGGTCACTGCGCCTAGTTTTTTTTTAAGTTATGTACTATATTAGTATATGCGTGCTGAATTTTCAAATGAATTTGAGTTTGAGTCACGGTAATTAATGAACGCTAGTAATAATGATTAAAATAATTTATCTTTAAAGCATTCATCACTTTTTCATAGGTAATTAATGAACGCTAGTAATAATGATTAAAATAATTTATCTTTAAAGCATTCATCACTTTTTCATAGGTTTAAATATTTTAAGGTTTCCATATTTTCAATTTTTATTGGTGTTATCCCGTGTAGTTTTGAAAATCTACTCTTTTGATCATTTTAATTTTATTTATTTATATCATAATTTTAACATGACATACCACTTCTAAATTTTTAAAAATGCAATCATATTCTATTAAATAGTATTTATTATATATAAAATAAATGTTAAAAATTTACAAATAAAAATGAAAATTATCACTTTTTAAGAGTACATGATCTAAAATTATCATTTTGAAAATATCGATACTAAAATGAATTAAAAGTATATAGATCAAAATTATTTTTTTGAAAATTACATCTGCAAAATAAAGAAAAATCAAAAGTATAAATATTATATATTATTTAATTTTTTTTAATACGACTAGATGCGATAAAAATATTAACACTTCATGTTATAATAATACAAAATATTTTTTAATGGAAGAAATGATGCACGCAGAGAATCTTTTATTTTATTAACCAACCAACTACAACTACAACTACAAGGACAAAATCAATATTATAATAAATAACACTTGACCTTTAATAATCCGTTTAATTTGTACATATTTTTCTTTTTCTTTAATTTTAGTAATATTTATGAACAAGTCCAACTTATAAAATTTTGTTCTATTTGAACCAAATTAACAACATGCTATATGTCCAAATAATTTGGATCGAGTAGATCAAAATTTTTGGATCATCATATTTTTTTTAACAGATATAATTATATACTTGAATTTAAATACTAAATTAATTTCAACAAGATATTGAAGATAGGGATTTACAATAATTGGGAAGTCAATAATGAATTATTCTGCCAACTGTAAAAGATAAGATAAGGACATTATATGCATATATTTTTTTATTATTCTCCTTTTGGCCTTTTTTTCCGAGAGAAAGCTCCTTGAGATTTGTGAAGAGATACCAAACGTTGACGTACTGAAATTTTCAGATTAAATAATAATCAGATAATAAACTTAGTGAACTTATAATATTATCGCCTAAAAAAACTTATAATGTTAATACTACTGTTTTAAATTACTATTTGAATTTTCCTCGTATTAATATTAAATTTAAATTAAAATATTACTATTAAATAAAATAATAATACAAGAAGTACAAAATTTATTATTGTTAAAAATAATATTAACATACCATTTAGTTTAGTATTTGTAAATTTATAAAAATACGAAATTAGTATTCTACTAATTGTCTTATTTATATTTTAAATAGTTTTAATAAACAACATTAATACTTTTATAATGATTTCTAATTTCATTGACTCTAATTTCGATTCGTAAATAAGACAGAGAGAGTAAATAGATTCACGAGGGTCCCACATTGAAGTCGAAGGGCAAATGGGGAAGATAACATTAACATATGTGCAAGAATGAGTTTTGAAAATGAGAGTGACGTACTATCATATTAGAAAAATATTTCAACCTTATTGTTAAGAACATATCTTATGATGATTACCATTAAAAAATTGACAACTAAGAGAATTGAATGTAAAAAACATATATTAAAAAAATAATAATAAACTATCGATTTTTCAATAATAGAAAAGAAAAATAAATCTTCTCCCGCTAGAACCGGACAATACACCATGTGTATATGCGATATTGTTTATTTATTTTATTATCCAATATGCATCTTAATTCTCATATCCCTTCAATTTCACTTTTTCCGCTACAACAAGTGGGGTGTAGGATTTGAACTCATTATCTCTTAGTCGAAAATAAATGTCAATTATTGTTAAGTTAAGCTTATGTTTACTCTCTTCAATTTCACTTATGGCGGTATTATTATCGTCACCCATTTTCAATCAAATATTCCAAATCCACACTCCACACTTTCCCAATACTTATTAGATCAAAAAGATCGCAAAACATAAGAGATTCAAACCCAAAAAGGTTTAATTGGTTAGTTTGATTCAGTTTGTATGTTATATTTTAATTTTGCAATTGTAGAGATGGGAGAATTATCTTATGTCAAAAAAGAAAAAGGGAGAATCAGTGAAACTAACCCATTTTGATAATTATATATATTTCTATATCATTTTTAAAATGCCCATTGAGTCTTCTTTTTTCCCTTTTTTTTCCTAATATGTGGGCGAGATATATATATATTTTTAGTACAACATATATGTGAATGAGATTGAACTCACAACTTCTTGATTTGAGATATGTGTTAATTACTGTACTCGTTTTGACGTGTGGTGGAGATATTGATGGTACGTTTCTTCGAAACAAAACAAAACAATAAAAGGTTGACATTTTCATTTGCTCGAAATCAAGAAAACTTAACCGAACTAATTAATTCACATAAAACCAACTTTCATTTCAAGTATGGTATGTTTAGTTCACTTTGCATATATGGCAATATGACCTTTGCAACAGTTTAAAATCTCTTAGGTCTCCCAATTCATGCGTGTAAGGTTTCGTTATTATTGAAAAAAACATTGATCGTTAGTCTATAAGTTTTAGCCACATAATTTAATGTTCTATTTATTAAAATTGCATAAGAAATATTTTATTTTATTTTTGTCAAAACGAACATAGTTATACGATAATTGGTATATATATAATACAATGTGGAGATTCATTATTTGTTAGGTATTGTACAATTTTTCAAATCCACAAGTGAGACGAGTGTTAGATATCCATTAAATTTACTAATCAACTTAAAATTTTGGATTCATATTTAATAATATTTATTAATATAATAATGGAATAAAAATTGTATTTATATATCTATCACGTATTTGCAAAATAATATTATATATTATTATAAGTTGATTGGTGGTTTATTGTTATATATATTTTTCCATTGGTTTGAAGATCTCAACTGAAACATGGAAAATCAATCAAATCAACTAGAATTGACCCAACCGAACAAACTAAAATATATTCTAAACGTAAATTATACAAAATGGAACTAACAAAAATTTCTCTCCCCAAGTTGATTCATCGCATCGATTTGATTGGTTTGATTGATTTGACTTATTTTGCAACATTTTTTTGCCCTTCCATCTCAATTTGCATCTCCACAATATGATATAAAAATAACAAGTGGCAACTTCGATTTTTTGTGATCTTCTTACATTTGGTAGAAAAATATGTTCATATGATTGTACTCTAATCCATGTTCCTAGGGAATGTATATTTTTTGAAATTTTACATGTCCGACATCTATGATTTGGAAATATAAATATCCAACATCCTTAAATAGTCACGATTGTTTTGTAGTTAAAATTTTAATACGGTTTTAGATTTGTTGTTTGGGTAGGATTTGTATTTTGAAATCTTAAAAAATTATATAATTGTTTAGAAAAAAGAATCTTACGAACATTTATGTAGTTTATATATTGATTTTAATGTCTTTATTAATTTATAGTTTATTTTGAATTTAAATATTATTTTATATACTAATTAGTTTATATTAATTTTAAGTTATCGAATTAAAAGAAAAAAAATTAGGGGAATAGATCTATCAACTAAATAAATAGAGATATTACATAATTATTTTTTAATCGAAGTTTATTATCAAAGTGAGCATAGTTCAATGGTAATTGATATAACAAACTTGCAATCGTGAGAATATTAAAAAAAAAAAGGAAAAATGAAAAATAAAGATAGTTGCTTTAAGAAAATTGGAAACAATAAATAAATTTATTAATTTAAGGAAAAATTTTTGGCTTTGATCTACCCGAGAAATATATTAAAAATAAAATTACCACGTTTTATCCTGACTCCTGAGACGTGTAGTCACCGACCTCCACGTGCCGCGTGCGTGCGCCACCTTGAACTTCGTCTCTTTTTCTCTCCGCCTTATATATACATATATATCGTCTTCTCTCTGCAATTTTCTTCCTTCTCTTTTCTCTATCCGCTAAGTTTCCTCTCCCACTTGTATGCTCTTAGAAACCGCCTTCCCCTCATCCGTACAGAGCACCGCCGCCGCCGTCGTCGTCTCCACCGGATCATGCGGAGCAGCACCGCCGTCACCAACGAATCCGCCGCCGCCGAGACCGGCGGTGGCTGTCCTGGTGAGATCATGTTGTTTGGTGTAAGAGTGGTGGTGGATTCCATGAGGAAGAGTGTGAGTTTGAACAATCTGTCGCAGTACGAGCAGCCTCATGAGGCCGCCAATGTAATCGCCAACGAGAACAAGAACGACGTCGTTTCCGTCAATAACAAAGACGATGTTGCCGCTGGATATGCCTCTGCAGATGATGCTGTTCCCAACGCCCGTGGGAACCGCGAACGTGAGCGCAAGCGAGGTTCGCTCGGCATCGGATCTCCGATAGCCTTCGATTTCTGTCTCTTTTGTTGTATCGCTTTAATTTTTACTGGCCTCTGTTTTTTTTTTTTTGTCTGATTCTTCTGATTTCTGTAGAGTTAATCTTTCGATCTATTTAATTGAGTTGGAGAGTCGCTATGTTTTATGATCGGAACGTACGGGGAGAAACTGGAGTTGGCCTTGTATGTTTATGCATCTCAGATTTTTGTATTTGTGTTTGACGAATTTGTTGCGTGTGGATGAATAATAGGTGTGCCGTGGACTGAGGAAGAGCACAAACTGTTTTTAATTGGATTACAAAGAGTGGGGAAGGGGGATTGGAGAGGAATTTCAAGGAATTTCGTCAAGACCCGCACCCCAACACAGGTCGCTAGCCACGCGCAGAAATACTTTCTTCGCCGGAGTAACCTAAATCGCCGTCGCCGTAGATCTAGTCTCTTCGATATCACGACGGACACGGTAACTTACGAATACTTGCTATTCAGTTAGTATGTGCCAATTGTTTGGTTGTTGAATCTGATTACTGGTATGATGAGTTCATCCCTTATCTTCGACTATCAAGATTAAGTTGATTGTTGATTAGAAGTCAACAAGGTGGCTGTTTAATTATCTAATTAAGTTGGCGATTGACGAAATCCATGACAAACTACTCTCTATGATGATGGATCTAAGTTTTTTTTCAGTCTTTTATTTTCTTAGAGGCGGACATTGACCTTTAAAAGACCAAATTTATCGATTGATTTCGCCATTTTTAGCTTCTGCTGGTTAATTGACCAATGAAAGACTTGACTTTTCTGTCTCATAATCTCTATTTTTCTCTCACCAACCCCAAAAAAGTTTGATTTTCACATTAACTCTGATTTTTCTTTTTCCTGTCCTGTTAGGTCACGGCTGAGCCAATGGTTGAAGAGCCGGTGCAGCATCAAGAAATTTCCTCTCAATCTCATTCCTTTACTCCATCAGCCCTGCCTGAAATTTCCCAGAACAATGTAATTCCAATGGTGCAAACTCTGCCACTTACAATTGGGCCAACACCATTAGCCACACCAACCAAGAATCTGATGGAAAAGTGTGGTCCTGGAGAAGTAAACACAGAAAATGATGGATCACTGAGGCTTGGCCTCACGGATTCCATCTTTTCCTCCAATCAAACTCCAAACTCAACTGATTTGAACTTAAATTCAAACTCAATAATGGAGCCATCAGCCTTATCTCTTCGCCTTTCCTTAACATCTGACCACAGGGAGGCCTCATCAAGGCACTCAACTTTCCAGGCCATGCCAAGTTTCAATAACGGCGAGGGAATCATAAGTGTTGCTTAACGATGATTCACAGATCTGGGGAAGTAAATTGAGAATTAGAGAGAATGGGGGGCCAGAGACGACAGAAGTTTATTAGGTGACTAAATCTGATCCTATCCTGTGCAGACCCGGAAAAGGGGTTGCCTTGCTTCACTTCATGTTTTTGATGGCATCTATGTAATCTAGATTCTTGATGATTTTCGCTGTTGTTGTCGGTAGGTGGTACTGGTACTGACTGAATAATGACACTATTCTGTGTGTGTGTGTGTTAGAAAAAATGACTGTATTTGATGGGTCTCGTCTGGTTGTGTTGTGGGTTTTGGTTATAGTTTGAAGGAAAGAATATCCAAGTTGGATAAATGGGTGGTGGTTTCCATGCCATGAATGTGAAAGGGGGATGAGGCAAAATTCCCCTGTTTCTCTATGTATGTAGCTGCCATTAATTTTTGTCAACGTTTGGAAGGAATCGATTTGATCCACATCCATATCCACAGTGATTGATGGCTGTCCTATGTCTCGAATCTATGATATTTTGGGGGTTTCAGGGCCTTGTATTCTATATCTGGTCTGCCTGGCTTCCCTTCATCTTATCTTACAAAACCCTCCTATGTAAAAATCTGTGCAATATAACTTTTTAAGTTTTGTCATTTTCGGATTTCTCCCCCCTTCTTTTTCTCCTTTAAAGTAATACATACTGAGAAGACAAAAAAATCAAAGAGAGTATTTTTTTTTTGTTTCTGTTTAATCCTTTTTAATGATAAAAAATAGAATTACATGGCTCGAACACTTTAGTATAGTTTGTTGTTGTACCTAAAATTTCTATACAAGTTCTTTTGAGACCTTAAATTTTATAATAATATTAAAAACAAAAAAACATGAAAAAACGTTATCAATTACTAACCTCTAGAGTGAGGGATATAGGAAATACCCCAACATTTTTTGAGTAATTTTCTGCTGTTTTAAAAGTCAATTGTATATCGTAATTACTACTGTTAAATGAAAGGTGATTTTGATGTCAACATCACGGTCAAACTCAATGTTTAATAATGATATATAAATGGCAAAAGTTATTTTAGTAATCAAAATTACTCTCGACCTTATAATTAAATTTAGATTTAGATTTAAATCACCTCAACTTAAAACACTAATTCTAAAATCAGTCTCATAATACCCCCAGTTGGATCATTACAGGAGAAGGAACAATATTTTTAATAAAAATGTTGAGTGATACACAGCTTTTCGTTTTTTAAATTAAATTAAATTAAATTTATTTGGGTTATGTCTATTATATTATATAATGAAATCCCTCAACTCATTGGTGCTTTTCCTTTTGCATGTGCCATGTTTATATTTTTGTACTTTAAAAAGCTTATCTTGTTCATTTCTTAACAGTTTTCAATTGTAGTTTTAATACATTATTTTATTTGTTTAAGTCTATTGAAAATCAAATCTAAATCTTTTGATAAAAGGGGAATCTACATACTTTTACTTCTGTCTGAGCTGCCGTGTTTATTTATTTTTTCATTAATTTTTGTTTATTTATTTTTTCATTAATTTTTGTTTCTAATCTCATGTTTCCTAGTTTTAATTATTGTTTTAAAAGCCGATCGACACGTCAACCTTTCAAGAGGGGAATGACTTTCCCCTGTCGATGACATGTTGCCAACACCTCGAAATGTGTTCTAGTTGTTCACCAAGGTTTAGAAGCGAAAGAATAATTTGCCTCATACTTACCCAGTCACCGGCTTTAACAACTTTCAAATCTATTTCTCATAATCTTTTTAATTTGCTTGCGTTTGTATTGAAAAATGTTAATGATTGAATTTATATATTCTAATTTTAATGCATATATCCTTAATTTCATAGTGTTCAATCTTAATATCACGTGTTAAAACTTTTCAACCAAATCTCTTAAACAGTGACAATATGATATCAAAATTCATTTTAATTAATAAGAAATTATCCTATAATAACAAAAAGTCAACTACTTTATATCATCCAATCCAGAATAACTTACCCTGCCAGGAAATTAATATGGTAAAAGATGAACCTGTTACAAAAATAAGATTATTCTGACAAGAGACCATCTAGATATTTGAATTCTTAAAACAACAGGCCCATTTATGACAACTTCTGAATCTTTTTTTGAATCTTAATCCATCATACTAACTATAATAAAGGTGTATTATATCATATAATTCCCATTATTGTTCACATATATATATATATGTGATCTTCCTGAAGAATGCAACAGATCCAAGTTTTCAAACTGGATGAATTCAAATTCTTACTATACCATGTAAAATAATAATGAGTGACCGACGAGAATGGTAAATAAACATTAATCAACAAATGTGAAAAGAAATTGAGTTCACATCCTTTTAGTTTTATCACAGGTAAGACAGAGAGAGAACCTGGAAAACTAGAACACACATTTGAACACAAACATTTGAAAGCATCTGAGAGATTGTAAGTCACTGAATTGTAAAATGAGCAATAATTTAATGGCAGTATAGGACTCATGTACAGTTGCATTTACCAGTATGATGAGAACATTCCCTGGCCATGATTCAGCAATCTATCCAGACGATGAAAGCCAAGGGTTAGGAGCAACATAAGTATATCCATGGAAGTGTCCACCGTCGGTTGGTGTTGGAGCTGGCGAGTCGTCTGGGGGCATTGTTGTCCAACAATGATCGAAATTCGCTGTGCAGTCATTTCCATTCACATCTGGCTTGAATTTTGGTTGCAGCTCTCTACATTCCAGTTTCTTCCAGTTGACTGGTCGAAACCATTTATGCTTTTTAATCTCGTCCCCTCCGTTGGGTCCACTCCCTAATCTTTTAGAAGGCTCCTTCTGTAACAGCTGTGAAGAACAACAATTCCCATTTTTGTTCATGATTGTTATAAGAAGGAAAGAGCTGAACTTGAAAGCAAAAGGAATGAGTGCAGAATAAAATTTGAGTTCTTAGCTTACCCCTCTTAGCAAAGAGTGAGCTTCAGTACTCAGGCATGGTGGAAGCTTCACTTTCTCTTTAATTATTCTTTCTTGAAGTTTCTTTCTATTAGCATGCGTGAATGGTGGCTGCAAATCGTGAAATAGCATAACGATAACAACATCAAATTGATAGAACTTAAACTTAGCAACCAAAAGAAGTTCAGTAACACATGCATTGGATTATAATAAATGAATCAAATAATAAAATAGCATGGAACTCCAGTCCCTCCACTGGATCCAGAGTCAATGAACTAGAAGAAACGCCTAACTAGTTTTACTGGTTCGTTGAAATTCCTATGATTCATGCGCTTGTCAACGTCATTTATCTGCTCTTAGGAGCACTCGCCATTCATGTACCTGGCCACTAAGCATCTCATACAAGAGAACTCCAACGCTCCACCAATCGGCATCTTTGTTGTGGCCTTTAGAAAGCAAGATTTCAGGAGCCATGTATTCAGTTGTTCCGCACAACGAATTTGACCGACTTGATTCCTCAATTTCCTTGGCCAGTCCAAAATCTGTAAGCACTACCTGTATAAACATTCAAGATTCAGGAATACAGGAAGAAAACTCATTAGTACGATTTATGAAGAAAGCCACTACAGGATATTTATCTTTTGGGTGAATAAACTTTGACATTACATGCCCATCAGCATCCATGAGAATATTCTCAGGCTTGAGATCCCGATGCACAATGCCGCAGCCGTGAAGATGCGAAACAGCCGATACGATCTCAGCAGCATAGACCCTTGCCTGATCCTCACTAATCAAAAGGACCCATGATCCAGATCAAATGGAGTTCGTAAAGTATCAAGATTAGAAGATAATACAAACTCTTTAAAACTGAGGTCAGACCGTACCTGAAGATCCCCTGACGGTACAGATGATAGAAGAGATGTCCCCCATTTATGAAATCAAGAATCAAATAGAGTTTTGATTTGGTCTGCAAATACAGGAACATAGTGAATCAAAGCATAACGCAAACAACATGCTAACCAAGAAAAACTACTCAGAAAATTTACATAGAGAAATGTGATTAGTTTAGCTTTAATTTCTTGCTTGATACAAGCCTGTCATTAATTAGTGTTCTTCTAATCTAACCGATCGAGGAGGAGCAAGGGGAGAAATGTTAGGACCTGGAAAGAGTAGCGGAGCTGAACAATGAAAGGATGCGCAACTTTGGTGAGAATATCTCTCTCAGCCTTCATATAGTCCACATGATTCTTCTTTATAATGGTGTCCTTCCTCATCACTTTCATAGCATAAATCCCATCATTATTGGGACCGTTTCCTTTAAGATCTCCTTTCTTCCTCACCAGAAAGACCTTCCCAAATGCCCCTTTTCCCACCACTCGAAGAATATCAAAATCCCCAACTCCAATCTTCCCCTGTACATTTTCTCCACCACCGTTCACACTCTCACCCACTCCCTTTTCCTCTTGAGCTCCATTGCTAGTTGAAATCTCTGAATCCTCTTCATCTTCCTCTTCATCGCTCTGAGAATCGATTCCTTGGAAAAAAGGAAGGGAAGAGGGGGGAGTCAAGCGGGGAGACGGACCCACAAATGAGTGAGATCTGTTGTGGATGACCTCGGGCTGTTCGTGGTGCTGTGGGTCCCCCGGAAAACTGGTAGATGATGATGGGGAGGGATTGGTGGGGCCAAACACGTCGGAGAAATCAAAGTCATGGATGGCGGCGGCGGCGGCGGTTGACGGAGAAGGGGAAGAAGAAGACGAGGGGATGGTCAGCTTCGCGAGATTAGCCGCGAGGAGGGAGTGCATGGTCTTATTACGAGCCGATGCGGACACCATTTTTGGTCGACAATCCGATCGACGGGAGGAGAATCGTGAAAGACGAACAAGATCGAGAAAATTTTCCGAGCCAGCCGTGAATTGCTTCTAGGCGGGCTGAGAACGTACGAATCACATCGTAAAAAAGGGAGAAGATCGCGAGCGATTGAGACCAAATCAGAGGCGGAGAAGAGCCAGAAAAAAGCCGCAGATGATAAGATAAAAGAAATTGAATTAGAGAGCGCGCGATTTGCAGCCGCAAAAGGGGAGAAGCTGAGACGGAATTCAATTGGAATTTGCGCTCAAACTCGAAGAACAGGAGGAGGAGAGATTAAATAGCAGCGAGAGAAGCGGGAAGGAATTGGATCTGTGGGGGTTTGATCTTTATTGACCATAAACTTCAAAAAGAGGAAGAAGAGTTGAATGTGGAGAATCCTGTTGAAAAGCTTGCGAATCGAACCCCTCGTTATCCAACAATCTGCTCTTCCCTCGTTTTCCCTTTGATTTTCTCTCTCATTTTCTCAGCAAACAAACACTAATTATACTTTATAAATTAACTATAATTACTGAACTTCAAACAATCACGTGCAATGCAGGGAGTTAAATATGACGTGGATGAATAAAAAATGTCGACGTTTCAGTTTTAAGAAAGACAAAAGTCAAAATCAAATTAAATTTATAAATATGGCTCGTTTTAGTAATGGATTTCATTTTATTTTATGAATTACAAAAATAACTATATCTTTGAGTAAATCATTATGTAATCTGTTGAATTTGGGTAAGTTTATCTACATTTTAAGAAAACAAGTATTTAACGGAGAATTAAATTATAAATTTGATCATTAGACTTTAAATTATGTCTAACTAGATACCATACTTTCAAAAAAATTCAATAAATTCTTTGTCTCACTTTAATTCTAAATTTTCTAACAAATTTAGAAACTTAGGCAGGTACTCAATGAATTTAACTTTCTTCGTTGATTGATTAGGAGTAGAGTTAACAACAAGGATTTGGAAGTTATTAAATCAAAATTAAGATTTATTAGAATCTTTTTAAAATATAGAAATTAAATAGACAATTCTTCTGATTTTATAGAACAAACTTATGATTTAATAACAAGATCCAGGGACGAAAAGAGGTAAATCTAAGAAACATTTGAATATGATTTGGAATAAGGAGTTGTTTTCAACAAATCAATAGTTGGGTGATCGGCTCAAGAAAAGAATTCCATTATAATGTTAATTAAAAATTTAAAACCTTACACATTGAAATTAGCAACAGTAACATAATCTTAAATCATCCATTTTCCTATTATCATTCCCACCCACAAAACGACCTAATGTAAAATGAACAAAAAAGGAATCAAGCTAATGCTAATTTTTTTTGCCATCATTACCTTTTCTTTTTAATCTGAATTTTAGTTTTAGGATATCATTTTCAACCCAAAAGAAG